CGTTCGACTCGGTGGAGCCAGTAAAGGTCTGGGAGGCGCTGGAGGAGCGAGGTGTTGAAAGGATCTACGTGGACGTACTACGAGTATGCTACTCGAAGTACAACGGTATTCCATCCTTTCTACAATGACGTTGTAGTAGCACTTCAAAAAGGAGTACGACAAGGGGACCCGATATCGCCAAACCTGTTTTCCGCCTGCCTAGAACACGTCATACGTCGCTGCAACTGGAGTAACTTAGGTGTCAATATCGACGGTGTGCGTCTTAACCATTTGCTATTTGCCGATGACATCGTGTTAATCACGGACTCTCCAGAACACGCATCTGAGATGCTGCATCGCCTAGATGAGGAAGGAAGCCACTGTGGTCTCACCATCAATACTTCTAAGGCCGAAGTAATGCGAAACCAATTCTCAGGCGATACCGCTGTACTTCTGGAAGGAGGTGCTATCGAAGACGTTGACGAGTACGTGTACCTCGGGAGCCAGCAACAACATGAGTAATGACTTAACTGGAGAGTTAGCAAGACGTCGCAAGGCAGGATGGGCAGCATTCAACTCCATAAGAAACGTATTAGAGGACACCAGGGACTGCAAACTTCGAGCAGACTTATTTAATTCAACGGTGTTGCCTGCCCTCAGCTACGCGGGAGAGACCTGGGCCCTGACGAAATCACTAGAAAGACATTCAATGTCAACCCAGGCTTCGATTGAGCGTCGTTTTTCTGGTCCAACGCTGAGTCAGCTACGAGAACTCAAACTTCATAATCTCAACGTCAGAGCAATGTCGAAAGACAAAGACGTTCTAGTTCACGTCGATGAAGCGAAGCACAGATTTGCTGGACACCTAATGAGAAGAGAGGATGGACGATGGAGCTCGGCCACTATGCGTTGGTACCCGCGAGTGAAGAAGCGGCCGCATGGCCGTCCTCCTTTACGATGGGCAGATCTCTAGCTTATCGAAATAACGTCTATGATCCAGAGTCCTTTAGGGTGACTACGCACTGGACAACCAGAGCTCAAGATCGAGAACATAGGAAAAGAAGTTGGGACCCGCGCAAGGCCAATCGCCGTTCTGATGGACGGGTCGTCTAAGTACTAAGTAAGTACTAAGTAAGTACATCACTACGACTGGGGCCAACCACTGAGCGAAAAGCACAAAAACAGTGGGATTGCATTGTTCAAGAAATATGCGAGTTCCGCGAAAGTTACCAAGGAGAGCTACACAGGACCACAAAAGACTGTATAAACTGATCACATATTCCGATGCCAGCGCGATTGTCATGACAGCATGCACCTATCTATAATAACTACGAAGGAACCTTCTTGCTTTCTTATGGCAAAATCATAGATGTGAGACGTGAAGCATCCAGCCACAATACTTGAGATGGAATCAAACGCAATAGCAATAGGTAGGGGCACGCCTAACTTTCAACGTGTTTCTGAGCATCGAATTCCACCAAACATATCGAAGATCGTGTGCTTAACTGATTCTGAGATAGCATTGAAATTGCTTCGGAGCAACCCGAATTGGGATAAAACAGGACCGTACGTTGAAAATCGGCCAAGAAGTCAGACAAATTGCACAGTCTCTTCCTTGAGCAGGAGTTGAAGTAAAGTTTGGCTAAGTTCAATTCAGCGGATAATGGTGGGACGGATATCCACAAAGCATCACCAAAAAAGATATTGACATCCACCTTATTCTGTCGCCAGACAATTCAGAACAGGAAAAAGAAGAAGAAGTTCTCACACCTTCTGTTCAAATAAACGTCACGAATCCAAGTTTAAGTAATCTTGGCTTATCCAGGTTTAACAATAAATCGAAAACTCTGAGGATCTTAGCCAACGGTATTCGTTTTCAAGGGTATCAGTTCTCGAATACGAGAACCAGTTCGGAACAAACTACGAAAAAACTAAGTATTACCCAGTAGTTATGAATCCTTTGAAGACAATACTTAACGGCCTCAAATATCAAATATGCCCATGTCGTGTTGATAGGAAATTACCAAGCAGTGCACTCACTTCAAATTATGGAAGGGAACTACTGAAGACTCTCAATATGAAAGAAGACCAGGAGCACTTGCGGAAAGCATTGGGTCGTCTCAGTAAGTGGGATTTGACGAGCATGGCAAGGAATCCCATTCTGATCATGCCCAACAAGGAATTGGTGGAAGCGCATGGGAAGTATTGTAGTAGTGCCGGGCGTACCATGGTAGAAGTACGACAACAGTACTGAATACCGAAACTATGGGAACAAGTGAAAATGTGCATACGCTCATGTGTACCTCGCCAAAAGCTCGATAATCTGCAGTATAAGTATCCGGAAGTGACAGATCTACCTGAAAAACGAGTAACAAAGTCCTGGCCGTTTAAAAATATAGGATTAGATTACTTCGGCCCGATCACAAATTCCGCAGAACAGAATGTCGCACTGAAGTGTATGGATGCATGTTCACATGTGTTTGCACGTGCTGCGTTACTCGCCCTGTACATCTAGAAGTCGTAACAGATGGAACTACAGAGAAGTTTCTGAACGCCTTTCGTGACTCGTAGCTCGCCTAGATAGATCTCACACGGTTATTCGTGATAATGCACCAGCATTTATTTTTGGAAGTCAAATTTTCAACGAACCTGGAACAGGTATCGAGTATGATGAACTGTCCCGCAACATGAGTAACCAGATAATTGATTGAAGGCACATAACACCGTACTCACCGTGGGAAGGAGGCTTTTGTGAACGCCTCATCAAATCCGTAAAAGAAGCCCTGATAAAAGCAACAGGCATTAGAGCAACTATGCACCTGTTTGGTCGAGATTGAAGGATGTCTCAGTAGTAGGCCCCGGACATACCAAGAAAGTAATATCAATAACAACATCACACCCTATAGACCTATCGACTTTCTACAGGATACGATGAATGTCACTCTTCCATTAGATGCTTCAGAACAGGACTACACAGATACGCCTCACCTGGAAAAGGAAACTAGCATGTATCTCCAAAGTGATTCCAAGCAGTGATGGAGCAGAAAGAGAGGTGGAGGGATGATGCAACTACAGGGCACTTCGACTTCCAGTAAACCAACTTATACCTTTAGAAGTCCTAGGTAATGGGGAGGCGTTACAGCAAAATGAAACGTTGAAAGACGGGTTACGTCAAGCAGAAGCACAATCATTAAATAAGCATTATCTAAATCGAAAAAAAGAATAAATAACTACACGGAAAATCATAATCATAATCAAATCCAGACTAGCATACAGTGCTCAACTAGTGTGCTAGTCTGGTCTAGTCCGAGCAGCACTTGCCCAACATTACTAGGCTTGGAAGTGACATTGGTTGTATTATAATTACATCGAATTCATCCCACACTACAACTACGCATCAGTGCATGGAAACCAAAAAGCTTATGAGTGCATGATTTCAAAACTTGATGCTATCATTCTGAGGAATAAGAGAAGCTCATCCAGACATTATCACTTTATGCCATTTACTACCACTCTCAACCGTATATTACTTCGGAAGACACGTAAAAAGCACAGCAAATTCATTGAACAAAACGTTAACTCAGACACATTACAAATCCACTTAACTTTGAAACCAAGCGCTGAGATCACTTCGCACTCGAAGTGGGGGAAGTCTTGGAAAGTGTACAAAAAAATCTTAGCACAAAGTCAGCACCATCCATTTAAAGCCTTTAACTTGAAGCACCCCCTTTTCAGAGCAATTTCTTCGAAGAGTAGCCTCGAATTCACGAAAAAACGTCAAGCGGAGGAACGCAAACTTAGCGATGAGGCTCGTTATAAGCGAGCTTGCGTGAGGATGGTGTCGAAGTTCCCATCAGGTGAAGATATTCAACACAGAATACGTCGCTTTATGAAATATGTTATTTTGAGTGTTAGGAGTAATTGTCCTAATGATAAGTTCACCGGAATTCGAGGGATCAACCTGTTTTCCTCCAATTTGAAGGCAACGCTCTACAGAAGTCACCTGGAAAGGATATATACAGAAGTGGACTAGGATGCTGAAAGAACTCGAAGCACAGCCGAAAATTTGTCTATGGCTTACGAAATCTACAGCCTTCGTATTTCTTCTGACGAAACAGTAACTTTTACTCGAGAGAACGTTTCTGGTAACCATGGGTAGGATGTTCTGCTGGACCCAAGTTACCCAGTGTGATCATTCGAAAAGAGCTGGAGTTTCTAGAACAATGCGGACGTCCGTCAAATACAGAACGAAATTGAAAAAGCAAAGCATTGAACAGAAAATAAAAAACGCATCTCTACCCTCGATCGAATAAAAGAAATGATAACGGAATTGAAGAGAGAGGCCTATGTCAAGCACATACAACCACAAGCAGAAATGAACGATCAAAGAGAGGGCACGAAAAATCTGTGCGAAAGCATTGAAGGAATAAAAAACATTGCAACAATAACCAACTATGATCGTGAGCAAGAGCATTCAGAGCATGCTGAGCAGCAAACAAAGCCGAAAGATGTGAACACAGAGGAACTTAAAAAGGACCTCTTGAACTCGTACCACGAGTTTGGAGAGCCTAAGAGTCACGATGACTCCATCAATACTCTTTCCTACTTATCTGACCATGACAACACAGCTCGGAAGAGGTACTGCCGACATCAGAAGAAAATGAAATCAGAAGCGCGAATCACGGAAATCAAAAAATACTCGGGGGAAATATGAAATGTACCAGAGCGAAAGATGAACGAAGATGACCCGATGAGGCCTTAGGAGCGATATCTGGTTGGCAAAAAAACGAAGTGGTCCGTATGAATGAAAGAGGCGAAACGAACCACTACGGAAAATTTGCCGATTTTTGTTTCTTAATTTGCAATTTCTCTTCCTAATTGTTCCTTTCGCCTGGCAAAAAAAAGACGTTATTCAGATAGCTGTTCTACATATGTAAGCGAAAGATCCCGGATTAAGCGAGCACGACGCAAACTATGTTGGGATAGTCGACACAACACAAAACATTGACGAAATAAAATTTGACAGCGACCATGTACTGCGGGTTCGAGAAGCACATCAAAGCATTGTGTACATTGTAGGAAGAAATCCAGGAATGCTACAAAGAAGTTTAACGAAACGAACACGAACTGGAATTTTTCAAAGAATATTACTGACATCGGGTGCCATCCGACTAGCCAATAAACAGGTCAGGGGGATTGCCACAGACGTGACCATGGGCAATGAGAAAGGAAACGGCCAACAGTCTAGAGTTCCCGTTTTCCCCAATTGCACTGTAGTGTTGATGACGTGTGGAAACATGTAGAAAGATGGTGTGATGAGGATATGGAAAGGACTTGTTCCAATTGAAAAGTGAGCCATCGATATGTGTTAAGACAGTAACTCGTATATAAACTCTCTCCATTACGATTAAATGTGCATTTGCTCCATCGTGTTCGCTTCAACACCACTCAAATCATGGCGAGTTTGAATGACAGGGCTTCAGATGCTGCTAGCATCATATGGAAGTTTTCAGCAAACCTTGTCACTCTTCCAAAGGGTGACATTTAAAAGCTCCTATGACTGAGATGGAACAGCAAGACTTTTTGTTAATCATTTTAGATTCAATTGCACCGAACTCTCAAAAAGATAAAAGCTCAAATCATCCACGCGTTCCAGAATCCGAAAGGCCTTCGCGTCTTTTACTCTCTGAAAAGAGGAAGCATCACTGAAGTGACACACGGTGATGATGATTACCCTAAAGTAACTACAATAGTTGAGATGGTCTGTTACTTGTTAGGATTAAGGCATTCAGGAAGATCATACAATGAGACCGTCTAGGTGAAAAGCGTTGACATAACTTTTATTCAAATGCAGTGTTTAGCAACTAGCGCTTCGACCTGAAGCGTATAGTTTGATCTTGAACTTCTGCTAAATCTGAGTAAACAGCTCACAGATAACATCCATAATGAATCACAGTAGTGATTGTTGTATAAAGTAAAGATACTGGAAGCAAAGTGTAAGGAAGCTATCAAAGAAACAGTGGAGTAATGAAGTCACAACCCTAGAGAGGAAAATACTTTTGCAAGGCATATGAAAGGAGCAGTTGAGCCTCAAATGACTGAGAGCTACCCCGATACGGGATTGTTTATCAGCTTTCGCATATCGATTTTTGACGATAACACTTCTCGCTTATCGAACTTTGGCAATCCTATTGATGTAATCCGCTAAGTGTGGCTGTTGGTGAGTTTGTCGATGTGTTTGTCTGACAGGAAATTCATAACTCCTGTCACACTGGACCTAGAGCATTCAAACTTGACAGAAGCACAGGTGGCAAGGTAGGAACAATACTGGTGGGTGGCTAGACTGAACTCCGCCCACAGGAGGTGGGGTTTGCGCGGAATGAATGTTTGATCGAAACTCATAACTCCTGTTCCCGTGTACCTAGATCGTTCAAATTTGGTGAAAATACAGGAAACAGAATGGGAATACTCGTGGTAGGTGGCATAACGAGAATTGGTTCACGAGGGCGAAACGTGCGTGGAATGAGCATATTCTCAGTGAATTTGCGCAGTCACGTCGTGAAAAAGGGGACTGAAACAATTTACTTAGATACACATGAGTTGAGCAGAAGTCTGCTCATGATGGGCGAGGTGCTCACAAAGTGTACCGAGTGTGTGTGTGCTTCTCTAGCCAAAAAAACTTTTTAACCTCCTGTAATACTGCACCATAGCGGTCCGACTGCTAACGCTATGAATATTATAAAACAAGTATTTGAGAAAAGCGCAGTCCAACAGGAACTGACTTAATTCGTTTTGAACTAAACAAAACGTCATGGGGAGGTAGCTAGCCTAGTTCTACAGTCTAATCGGAATGTGAGCGCAGGTCCTTTGTAATGTGAGCTGACTGTGCACTCTCCTCGCCAAACCCCTTTTTTGTGCATATAGCCTACACAGATGAGGAAGAGGACTGAAATGAGAATATGAAAAAAACATAATGATCAGGTTTATTTATATAGTAATGATGAGTAAAGAACATTACAAATAAATCTTAGAAAAACGGAGTTAGGATAGCGAGATTTTTTTATCGAATCGCCGAGCACAGAAATTATTGACGTGCTTATGCAAACCGGGTGGAAATGACTTCGTACCCGAATACTGAATACAGAGCGGGAAAATGCTGCCAGTGCACTCCGTTGGGCGAGTAGGAGGAAAGCACAGTTCGAGTTTTATTTTTAGAAAACTTTCCAAGGAGTGAATGCACACCAAAAGAACTTTCCCACCCATGGGAGAATTTCACCCTAGGGAAAAGAGACGGAGCCGTTTCTTCTTTTTATATGTATCCTGACCATGTTAAAAGAATCTGTATTAAACGAATCATCCGAAGGTTAGGAATGTAACGGTTCCATCCAACAGAGTTCACCACTGCTTGTTGGGTATATAGGTCACTGCACGAACGCTGGCATCGGACGTTTTTACCGAAGACGCAAGCTAGGAAGACCAAGTAAGACGTCATCAGACTGACCGAGACGAAGAGGCACCGTCCGCTGCACGCCGTATTCAAGACTGGTGAAGAACTGTTCCTTGGAACATGCGACAGCTGAGGAATATGTGTCCTCGTCAATGCGCACTTAGCAATTAACATCGATTCGTAAGGTCATCGTCGGTCATTTAAACGCCAAATTGGCCCAGAAACAGCTGAAGAGGTATATGTCAGTACTAATGTAATGGCATGAGTAGGGTGGAAGAGACTGTCCGAGTTCATCATGTCAACCCACACTTTAAATGGTTCCCGAAACCCTCTCATTTGCGGTGGACATGGGGGTCACCTAATAGACAGGCCCATGCGAAATAGATCACATCTTCTTCAATCGAAAGTGGGATCAGACCGTCTCCACTTCCGCGCTAGATTCTGTTTTTCATTGCGTGGAGAGAGAACTGCGAAGTTCAGAACACGAAGCCCTGAGACCTTTAGCGACGGGGACCACTTTGCTTCCCTCGTTAGTCTCTGGGAAGATTTCGTTATTGATATCACCGGTGAAGAATACAACCGGCTCTTCGACTATCCTCCTGATAGCAGCAGAAAAGTTGAGAGTTTAAAAGTAGCCAAAAAATCTCTCTCCGAGAATTCCTGTGCTGATACGTCAGCTTGAATCGAGCGAGCTACAGACATCATCAACAAACGTCCACCCTTGCAAAGCTATGCAGAGAAGCGATGAAATAAGATTCGAAGGAGACAGGGGTAGCCATTTCGGCTGAGTCCGCCGAGGCTGGGAGGAACATTCGCAAAGCCTACCAGAGCTTTGCCGATTATAAGAACAAGATGTATTCCCTTCGTCGTCTTGACGGGACATGCACTGCATTTCGAAGAGCATCTACGACTTTTACTTGGATCTCTTCGACAGCCACGTCTACTGCCCATATCAGGCGATGCTACATTGCTCCTTTACTTCTACTATCCGGAATGCCAAATGCCATCACTTCGATGAAGAATTGTACGGCGTAGATCCTGATAGGAACAAACCGGAACATTTGAAAATCTTCCTCGAGCTGTTGTCATAACTATGGCTAGGCTCTTCACGCAGTAGCTATCGGAATGCGAGTGGCCACATGGTGGGAAACCAGTAAACCTGTATAGTTGTATGAGAAAAGAGATCCCGCCGATGTTAGCAACTATTGTCCAATTTGCCTGCTATTTGTAATCTTCAAATATTTCGCATATTGCGTCATCCACAACAGGATCAGCAGAATATTAGATGGAGGGCCGACACATATGCAAGCAAAGTTTGAAGAGTGTTTAGTACAAGCAATCACATATACAGGGGTGCCCAAAAAAGAGACACTATGCATGAGGCCTAATCCAGGGCGGAATACGTCGCACCGATTGAAGCAACAGAAGGATGTGATCGGGTAAATTGTACTAAGAATGTTTCTTGATGAAAGGAAGCAGGAACTCGTGTGGTTCCTATATTGGCATCGAAATATGAAGCCGTCTGCGTATTCTGAAGAAACGAGGATTCAAACTGGTGTCCAAGGTTAACTGTGTCTGTGGCTTACTTGATAATCACATTTCAGGTAAGGACCCACTGCGTTAACGAGAAGCAGCAGAAGAATCGCGCGGAATGCTGCCAGCGTCTGCTGCCAAAACTCAACGACGGATTCGTGAAGCGGATCGTTTTCAGCGATGAGAAGCTCTTCTTGATCTCTGTCAAGGGACAGTAATAAGAGACGCATATGGACCACCCTGAAGAAAAAAGAGCTCAGCCCGAGCGTGCTGCAGTCACCACGCTCCACCAGCCAGCGTGGCCTGATGGTGTGGGCCGGAGTCTTGTGGAACGGTAAGACGGAGCTGCTGTTCGTGGAGCCTGGGTTGAAGACTAATGCCGAGTACTACGTCCAGCAGCTCAGAGAAGACATTTGCAGTCATGTAGCCGCCTTTATCGTGACGGAAGCTTTGTGCTACAACAGGACTGGGCACCGGCCCACGCATCTAGGAAAACTCTCGCCTTTTTGGATTCAGTGAGCGTCGAATATCATAAGACAGAATATCCGAGTGCATCTCTTGATCTCAACCCGCTTGATTACAGGGTGTGGGATGAACTCAACAGGATTGTCTGCGATGGTCAAGAAGTTGCCGATCTCGCCGACCTCAGACGACGCATCAAAATTGCGTTGCAAAAACTTTCGATTTCGTTCGTGCGGAAGGCCATTGAGGAATTCCGTGATCGAGCACAATGTGTTGTTGATTCTGCGAGTGATAATATTCAGTCACAATTTGATAAAGTTTGTTTACATTGGTGGTACAAGCCGAGCAGTGAAAGTGTCTCTTTTTTTTGGGCACCCCTGTACACACTCTTACAAGACTCACTAAAAGATCGCGAGAGTAAAAAATGGCGTTATGTCTGACGTTTGTCAATCTAGAGAAAGCCTTTGATACTGCAGATATTGAACTCTGAGCAATCAGGGTATTTCCTCTCAATACATAAGGATGCTTCGTGAATTGCAGAGCAGCTTCACGACCATTATTTCTCCCCTCTACGAGAAAGTCATTTTCATGCGAGGGGTTCGATAGGACGCGGGTTTGGTATCTTCTCCCCGAACGGCGTGCCGCACGCGATCGCGCGTTGCGAAGGGAAAGATTTGAAGTTCCGGTGGAAGTATACGGCAGTCGCCGCAGAACCACTGCCGCAGGCCGTGGAAATTCGGGAAAAGTTCCGTCACCCGGCAAGACGAGACCGTCTCTCTCGAACTTTTCATTGCCGCTTCCGAGAACATAACGCATCCTCGGAATTGGACGACGTGGGAATGATCTTTGACTTCCGCTATTTACATCATTTCCACTTTGCACACGACATCGCTAATATCGAATATCGAGCAGGCGAAATGAATGCGGCCAAATTTGACTACTGTCGTCGAAGTCTCGGCTCATGACTGAACCTCACGAAGATGTTGTTCGTGAGGAACAAGGCAGGGATAGCTTAGTGGAGAAGAGTGTAGGCTCACATCTGCACCTAGAGGGAGTTCGAGTTCGATCCCTGCCGAGGCAACTCAATGTCTTGCAAAAATTGAAAGTGGTATCGGTACCAGCGTCATGCCCAGGTTGACAGGCCGGCTGATGGAAAAATCCAGTCACAACAAGCGTGTCTGAAGTCTCAAGAAGTATCAGCGACAAAGCTGACCCAGAAGTGGCGAACAGGATCCCCACCTGAGTTCTGTGGACAGTATGCGAGGGCTACCGAGGAGTGAACGACCTCGGCCAAAGAAGTCAGTTCAAATGGGGACTCTAAGTGTGGTATCGCTCACTGGGAAGTCCCGAGAGGTCGTTGATCTTATGAAGCGCAGGAACATCCAAGTCATACGCATTCAAGAGACCCGGTGGAAGGGAGCAAAGGCCAGAGAAATCGGAGTGGGTGTCAAACTCTTCTACAACGTAGAAGTCATCAAGCAAATTGGTGTGGCCATAGAAGTGGCAGAATCCCCCGAAGACTCTGTCTCCGCCGGCAACAGGATCAGCAGTAGAATCATGGCTGTGTGGATAGACACGAAGGAGGGGTACTAGACAATAATATGTATATGCACCACAAGCCGGTTCCCCCCTCTACGAAAAGGATATGTTCTATCAGAGCCTTGACGAGGTCATCCGATCAGTTCCGGAGGAGGATTATCTCACCATAGAAGGTGATCTGAATGGGCAGGTCGGCAGTGAAAAGAGGGGACTAGAAAGGGTGCATAGAGCTAGAGGAGTAGGAGCCAGAAACAAGGGTGAGGGACCCACGACTTGGCAGTGCACCTTCTTCGCGAAAAGCAAGGCTCAGAAGGTAACCTACGGCAGTGGAGAGAAAGAAACGGAAATAGATCATGTGCTAGTAAGAAGACCGTTCCTCAAAACTATAAAGGACGTCAAGGTACTGCCAGGAGAAGTTTGGCCCCACAGCACAAGCCTTTTCTGGCAGACATAACCATCGTTCTTCCCAAGAAATCGAGGACAAGAACGGAATGGAGGGTCCGGTGGTGGAAGTTGCACCAAATCGGAAGAGAACACCTCAAAGAGAGGATACTGAAATCTGGACTCCCAAAGCCTAAAAGGCCAACCAAGCAGACCTGCAGCAACGCTGCAAAGGTCATCCTGCGATGTGAAAAGGAAACGCTGGCGAAAACTCGAGGTGGTTCCAGAGCGATTAAGGAAGTATGCTTTTGGAACGATGGATTCCAGCAAGTTGTAACGTAGAAGAAATCGACCTACAAAAGCTGGCAAAGGACACGAGCTCCAGAGGACCTAGCTGCCTACAGAACTTCCAAAAGGCTCGCCAAGGCCGCTGTAGCAAAGCCGAAGAACACGGAAATGAACGCCTTGTATGAGAAACTCGACAGTCGAGGAGGAGAGAAGATCGACTTCCGCCTGGCGAGGTCAGGCGTAGGTGGAAGGAATACTTCGAAGGCTCCTTAACGAAAAATTTGCCCGTAAGAGCAGCTCCCGATTAGAGGCAATGGCTGGCCCCATAAATCTATGGACAGAGAATGAGGTGAGAGCAATGGGAAAGATGAAGGTCGGGAAGGTAAGTGGTCCGGATGGAGTACCGATCGTGGCATGGAAGACGCTTGGAGAGCACGGAATAAAGTGGCTCACCCGATTCCTGAACACTGTGACCGCTGAAGAAAGAATCCCAGATGCGTGGAGGAGCAGTACTATCGTTCCCATCTTCAAGCAGAAGGGAGACGCGATGGAGTGCTCCAACAAGCGGGGATCAGGTTGAACGCTCACACGATGAAGCTGTACGAGAGGCTGGTCAACTCAAGATTGAAAGAATTATTACCGATCTCGCAGGAGCAGTTTGGCTTAATGCCTGAAAGATCTACAACGCATGCCATCTTCATAGCTAAGAAAGTTATGGAAAAGTATTAAGAAAAGCATAGACCCGTAGCGTAGCGTAGACCTAGCCTTTCTCGATCTGGAGAAGGCATTCGCCCATTTGATCACGACAAGTCCTCTGGAGAGCGCTCCAAAACGTTAGGTCCCAGAACACATGATCTCCCTTATGAAGGACATGTACGATGGCTCCACCACAACAGTACGCACCCCACACGGCCAAACCGGAGCAATATATGTCATGGTTGGGGTACACCAGGGATCAGCTCTGAGCCCGTTCCTCTCCCTGTTCACGATGGACGGAGGAACTCATGGATGATTGAAGGCTAGAACGGAGAGGAGGAGGGGTAGTCAGCCTTACTTTTCCTTAGAGATGGGTTTTAGTCAGAAGAATATTGTTTTTAAGTTCCTCTAAATTTCAGAAGGGGAGGAGCCCCGGGGTAGCTGAAATCATTAACTCGTGCAAAAAGCTGAGAAGGTATGAGAGTTGAACATTCAATTGGCTCACCTACCCCCGGAGCTCCTTCTCTCCTCAGAATTAGATGAAAAATATACATTCATAACTTAAAAAGTTATGGAATGTTCCTTAGCACCGTTACGGGCTCGGCTACCCTTGGATCTTGGCCTATTATCGCATTTTCGGCAGTGGGCCAAGAGCCGCGCGGCGACACGCGAGGGAGACTCTCCTATATTTCTAGATGCGATCCACTTATGGTGGGAAGCAGGACCGACCACCGTCCACCGGGGATGGGGCTATGCAGAAAATGATAGTTTGAGCCCAAAACGTCCAAATTGAGTAGGAGTACAGGATACAGAATGGGAACACTTATGGAAAGTGACATGACCTGATACCAGTGACATGACCAGATACTTGAATTGCACGAAAAATTGACAACCTTCTCTCCTCACAAGAATGACATTTGTTTGCAGCAAACTACCAAAATCGATCGATAACAACCGAATCGAAGCTCACATAACAAAGACTTCATGTTCAAGAGAAGGACAATTCTCAGCCCTTGAAAATACGCAGCAATGCAGCATTTTTAACGTTCTAGGGTCTTCCTGGTCACAGAGGGCAAAACTATTTCAACTGCAGAAACCACGCCTACCTGGGTTTTCCTGGTAAAAAGTATCAAGCTCCAGCCCATGATAATCATATACCTTCCTTGGCTTTCCTATCCAGTCAGCACGTAAAGAAGTCAGACAGTTGTTGGGACTCTGCGAAGTCTAGGATCAGGCAGAAAAAAACATGTAAAGCGGTTAATGTGCTGCGGGAATTCATTCACTAGGATCATCGGCAAACTGCACTATATCCTTTGTGAATACGCATTAGCAAACGGCGTTCAAAAAGGTGCTACGATAGTGAGGAAGCAGGTAACAGGCCCTTCGAAGGAGTCCAAAATCACGTAGACTAGTGCATTCAAAATTTAAACGAGTACAGGTGGCAGGATGTGAACACTTATGGTAGGTGGCATAACCATACTCAGCCCTCGAAGGGCGGGCCTTGCGCGAAATGTTGATTGGAAATCTATAACTTCTGCTTCCTTAGATTTGGAGAGCTCATATTCGGTAGGAGTACAGGGGACAGGATGGTGGCGATGTCCGTTCCTCCAAGGGGTGCCACTGGAAACTGCTCACTCCGTGGGCTGAGCTGACCACACACAAATGCATCGAATGCAGGCGTCAGGCCGGCCTACGAACACCCATGTAACATCAAAAATTTTCATGCCACTAAAGGAATCTCGAGGTAATGCTACGGCGTCCGCGGGATCCGACGCGCACTCGCAAGGCCCGGTGAGTGTGAAAAGTATGCGAGGGTCTCCGGTGCAAGGACGGCATCGGGGGCAACTAGGCTAGTCCGAAAGCCACGCAACGTATGGAAGACCCGTGTTGTGAAGTTAAATGTTGGCAACTTAACGGGACCCTTGCACGAGTTAGCAGAAGCTCCAGAGCTCTAGACGAATTGATTTCTGTGACGAGCACGAAACGTCCTGTAGCAAGTTCAGAGACATTGGCTTCGGCCTAAGAACCGTTCTTTGTGGTGGCTCCAAAACAACCAGAGCGTTGGGATATTAGTCTCGGAACGGTTTCGTGATTCGATAGTAAGCGTGGAACGCTTCGATGAATCTTCGATCGCCTAATGAAGGTCGCGGAAGTCATCGAACGCTAGAAATACAATCTCTTCTCACTTATGCTCCGCAGACTGGATGCTCTGAGCAAACCAAGGACAAGTTCTGGAACCTGCTCGATAAAAAGACAGCTAGTACGGTTACAAGAAGCCATAGTTGTTGCGGGTGACGTCAACGGTCGCGTGGGTGATACGAAAAACGGTTATAACTGCCATGGTGGTTTTAAATGGGTCATGTAGCACTGACGGCGTACGAATTCTCGAATATGCATACTCGCATAATCTCGCCATTGTAAACACGAGGTTTCGAGAACGTGACTCTTATCTCATCACCTTCTATAGCGGTGAGAACAGAACACAAATTGATTTTGTCCTTGTCAGGCACCGCGATCAGGGGCTCGTAATAGACGCGAAGACAATTCCCTATGAAACGGTCGCAACACAACACCGACCACTGATTTGTACATTAAAGACCGCCCCGCCTAAACCGAAATTAGCAGAAAAGTGCGGGACAGCGATAATCAAGTGGTGGCAACTGAAGGAGAAAGAAGCGGCGTCGTCTCCAGCATTCTATTACCAGCGGTAACGGCCGTCGACGAAACTTGGAACGGAGCTGCGGAAGCGATAACCCGGATTGCGCGGTCGAAGTTCGGCATGACAAAGCCTGGACGGCGAAAGCTCGACAAACAAACATGGCTGTGGACGGACCATGTCAGGGATAAATTCTGTGAGAAGAAGCAGTACCACGCATTTCTTATCGAAAAGACAGTCGACAATTGTCAGCGCTATCAGAAAGCGAAGAAAGAGGCGAAGAAGGCCGTTGCGTCTGAGAAAGCGGCTCATTATGCCGATCTTAATAGGAAACATGAGTCTCGTGATAGTGAGCGGTACATTTACCGACTAGCAAAGACATGCAATTGCCAGACCGAGGATATAGAAAAGTTGTTTGGCATAAATGACGAGAACAGTCACTTTTTGACGGACCGCAGGTAATTACTGAAACGGTGGTGAGAGCACTTCGCAGATATCTCAACACTCGAATTCGCTCATCTCGCCATCCCCTGCGCTACGCCAGTGCACGGCCCCGTTCAGAAGATAATCGTGAATGAGATTATTACGGTTTTGAAGAAGGTGAAATCAAGCAAAGCAACTGGTCCTGACGACATAGCGGCGGACGTGTGGAATGGAGTCCTGCAGGTGGTTGACGGAATTCTTCAACCAAGTCTTTGCAGAGAAGAGGGTGCCTGAGAGCTGGCAACAGCACGAGATTCCTATCTGAAGGGCAGTCCCCAGGACTGCCCTTGCTATCTCCAATTCGCTTGCTCCCGCACAGTATGAAAGTCTTTGATCGAATTATAGACAGCCGTACCCGTGATATCGTCGTCGAGTCTAACCAATGTGGTTTCGTGACTGGTTGTAGCAAAATCGACGCCATACACGTTACTTGCCCTTTGCTAGAAAAGCATCGCGAGAAACGAGGAGCGGCACATCTTGCCTTTCTTGACTTGAAAAAGGCTTTCGATCGCATTCCGCATAACCTTATATGGTATGCCTTATGACAGCATGGCGTTCCGGAAGAGCTCATCGAGTGGGTACGCATCCTTTACTCTAGTCCAAGGAGCTGAGTGCAAACGGCAGCGGACTCGAAGCCGAAGCCGGGTCTATGGACTCTTAATTATGCCGATGACGTGATGCTCGCTAGCGAAGGTGAAAGCAAGTTTGAGCAACAGGTGCAAGCCTGGTCCGACCGTCTGGCCATGCTCAGACTTAGGTTGAACGTCAAAAAGACTGAGTACTTGACCATCGATCCGAAGGAACCAAGCTCTATCAAGATCAATGGTACCGAGATCACGCGGACAACAACATTCAAGTATCTTGGATCGGCAACTGCCTTACGACAGATTGGTTTCGAAACGATTCTCGCGTGAATGCAGCGTGGTTGGAGTGGCGCTCGATGACTGGCGTACTCTGCGATAAGAACATGCCTGAGCGTCACAAATCAAGATCAATTATAACCGTCATCCGGCCGTTGCAATCTACGGCGCTGAATGCTGGCCTGCAGCCGAAGAAGTTGAAGCCTGTGTCAGTGTGGTGAAGACCGAAATGCTCCACTGGACAGCCGGAGTAACGTGCTCAGACCGTATAAGCGATGACGCCATCAGGGAGCGATTCGGTGTAGCACCCATTGCCGATAAAATTCGCGAAGCCCGTCTTCGATGCTATGGTCATTTTCTTCACGCAAAGAACGACAGTGTCCGAAAGATCTGTCTCAGCCTTGACGTGTCCGGAAAGCGGCATATGATCAAGCGTTCAACCGGGAGAAGTGGAGTCAACATATGAAAATGCGGACCCCGCCTGCAAGCAGGATAAACGTTAAAGAATAAGAAGAAGGAGACAGGGGACATGATGGGAACACTGTTGGTAGGTGTCGGGACAAGACCGCGTCCGCAGGAGTGGAGCGCGCGTAGAATGAGCGCAATCTCATTGAATTTGTGCAGTCAAGTTGAAAAAACGGGAATGAATCAATTGACTTAAACACACATGAGCTGTGCAGAACTCTGCTCGTGATGGACGAGGTGCTCACGAAGTGTGTCGTGCGTGTGTGCACGTGTTTGGAATTTTTTTACCTTCCGTTCTACTGCAACAGAGCGTCCAAACTAGGAGGGACGTAGGCGAGAGGCCATTTTCACGTGAGGAGGAGTGGCTAGCGTTAACCGGGCGATTCGAGTGGTTCAAGATTATAATATAAAGGAAGTGGTGAAAAAAGACAAAGGACATCCGTCTCCGCGCTCACCTTTACGACACGATTGTCCTCCCTGCTTGAAGTATAGCTCAAATACTCGGCCTCCATGAAAGCAGGATGAACATGCTGCCAGCATCGTCCAACGTGCTTGGAAAGGACGATGCTGGAAATTTCCTTATACGCGCAAGTGCAGATGGGAATCTAAAACTCCGAACTACGTCAACGGACGAAGATCAGCGATGTCGTTGTTCAAGCCAAGAAACCAAAGATCAGATGGATCGGACACTTTATGAAATATCGTGATAACTGCTGGATCAGAGCGGTTACTGACTGGATCCCTCGAGACCTCAAAGCAACACCAGAATGGCCGCCAGCGCGATGGTTAGACTTCTTCACGAAAGCTCTGGCTCCGGTGGGAATGCCATGCCCCATATCCCTTGCTCTTCGGACAAAGACGATCCACTAGACCACCCTGGCTCGCGACACGAAAGAATGGAGACGTTTCCTGCGCCCGCTCAAGGAAATCGATGATCAACGCGACCACAGATGATGCAGGTGATAGGCCATTGCAACTAAGTGTTTGACTCTGAAAGAACTTGAGAATACGGCCTCAAAAGAGAACATATCAAATGTTATCATTTTGCAGCATGTTGTGAGAGTCTTATCAATGGCATCAGGATCTACTGATTCTAGATTAAAGGCTAGTGCATATCATATCATCATCGAGACCAGCCACGTCACTGGATTGATAGAGGTTGGAGGGCAGATTTCAAAGGTGTTGTTAATACTGCCAAAAGAGGAAGAATGAAGCATTTGACGCACAGCTGAACCTTCTCTAAACTGGATCTGAATCTATTCCGCTGTGGGCTTTTTTGAAACAACCGCACCCCACTTTAACCTCAGGGATTGTGGCCTAAAAAATACAAGTTAGAAAAGAATTTGGACTGCCAGCATTTCGGAGGTTGCATTAACGGGGTGTTATATTGTGGCGGCATGGAAAACCTTTCAAGGAAGGGTTCAACCTAATTTGAAGTTCATTCATTTTACCTTGCTGTCTAATTCCCGTCTCACCAAAACATTTTTAGAATGTAACAGCAGAAGTTTCGTGACTGGAAGATTCACGTATGGAGAGTCAGGGCTCAGGGATCCAAACATGCGACTGCATATTGCTTCAACTCTCTAGCCATTTTAATGCAAAGAAATCGGCCATTAACGAAATGGAAAAGATGAACAAGTTCATTCATGTTGAATAGCCTTCGTTGTCTAATGGAATTCAGATGGAGAATCTATTATAGAATGATATCAAAAAATCAACTTCGGACTAGAAAAAATCCTTGAAAAAAAAAATCCTGAGGGTGCTCCCTGGATGATTCAGAGTAACTAAGGGTGATTGCAGATGATGTTATTCGAATAAAGTTGAAAAGGTGGTGAATGAGGGACTCTGCCTTCTTCGAGTTTGAGCCCTGCACTGTCACATTCGGGACGATGAGAGCATTGAAAACCTTCTTGCAAAGAAGAAAGCACGCACTTAAATAGGAAAAAAATCCCTTCAAAAGAAAGGAAAAGACTGATCATTAGGGTATGTGCATGGTGCAAGTACAAGATAACTCTACCTTTACCTCCAACTGTTTTCATATGAAGATGTCCAGCTAGCGAAAACGCTCGAACTGCCATTTGTCCAGTACGGCTTTGCACGCAACTGCACCACAAATAAACCCTGAACAAAGCGCGTCACTCGCTCCGCCAGCTATTAGTGTCAGCCTTACATAGCACAAAATCAATGACGATACTGGTAGCAACTATGAGGCATCGAAGAAACGGTGGAGTAATAAATCCACCATTGAATCGAGTGGGCATCGGTTCTTATCATTGGGCTGATCATCATTACTATTCTTGGAAATAACGGCAATAAGTCGAAGAAAACCAGTATCAAGTTACATAGAACTGGAATGATCAAAATGGATGACGATGGCAATGGACTGGAGTATCGAAAGAAATGTACTGGATAAAGTGAGTGACGTCTACAATATTACGTAGTTGTTTTCTTGACATTAGGCTACCACTCCAGTCCAAGTATAAAAACACACGTATGGCTGCTACGCTCATTAGTGACTGCCGATATGTGAAGAATGAAAATTTGCGCGAGTGGTAGAACATAGAACAGGACCGAGCACTTTGCTGAAAGAGCTGAAGTTGGGAATGAAAGCGGTCATTCAGCTCTGTCATGATTACGCCACATTCAAGAGTAACGAAAAGTTCTCCTAGTAAAACCAGAAGTTTAAAAGACGACACCTCAACGAGAAAAGAACTGCAGAGATCTAAGGAAGAAGGCTAAATGATAAGGGCCAAGTACCGATTTTCTGCTGTTGGAAATTGCGAAAGTTGTTGGCGAAAGGTGATGGTAAGTTAGATTTTATTCTTGGACTTCATCGATATTTCAATAGGAGGCACTCATCGTGTATCCCATGAAAACTCGCCAATAGTTATCGCCACTACAGCAGCAGCGTTTAGCGACGCCTCTTGTGATCATAGCCGTGCCATCGAAAATTTCGATTGTGGAGCACCTTCAACAGTGCCTATGGTGACGATCCTTACTATATATAAAGCGCTCTGTCTGTCTGTCTGTTTGTACGGAAATTCGATGTAACCTGAAGGAACACCTGGAGAAGTCGGGTCAAGTTTGGAATAGGTTGAGCATAGGGTAAGTGCAACAGAGCACATGTAAGCCTGGCGGAGCTCTGCCCCCAAGGGGCGGGGCATGTGGTGGGATTGGGCGTGGTCATGAGCTAATTCTTCTAATTCGGTCTTATACCAGTCCAGACGCCGCGAAAAAATGTGCAAAGATAAAGGGTGGCTCAACAACTAAAATAAAGGAAGCTCACCGGCGGTGGGCGGAGCGTTCTCGCAATGGGCGGTACTTTCCACAGAGATTCATAACCCGATTCAACGAAGGCGTCGAGGTTAAGAAAAAAAGCAAAAAGAGTGACTAAGGCCTTATGCGTGCTGGGCATGCGTACGCGTAGCGGAGCCCCGCCCACGGTGGGCGGAGCGTGCGTTAAGAAAAGCTTCTTTTCAAAAATGAATGTAACTTCGTTCGGAATTTTTCTAGAATGCGGGGAAAAAGGGTAAGAGGTAATGGAACAAATGTGATCGAATCCGCGAAGTGGGCGGAGCTGGCACAGGAAAGCAGGACTAGGACAAAAAATGCATCCCTTCGAAAACTTTCTAAAATGCGGAACAAATGGTTAGGAGCAGTCAAAAGAAGGGTGGTCAAGTCTATGGTGGGAAGGGTTTGCACTTAGGTGGGCGGAGCTATGATCAAACACTAGTAACTCTGCTCAACTACATTGAGCGTGATGCTCTCAGCAGTTCAGCGATCAAATCTAGAGAGAGCTATCTTATTCTGATTATCCAAAATTCTGCTGAATGACTCCATCGTGGATAAGTGGCCGTCGACATATACTGCACGCGTTAGCGTGCATAGCCAAACTGGTCTTCTATAAATATCTCGTTGTCTCACTGTCTGAAACGGCTTCCTAAATTTACCCTCGCCCATAAGTTTTGCGGGGTCAAGCGGACCCACAACAATGCTTCCCAATTCTGACAGCGTCAAGAGTAAGACCTAGGCATACCCGTTCCATAAAAGCTTAGTTATCATTATTCTGAGCTGTCGAGCGGTAACCTTCGCATTTAGTATTCTGTTGCCGAACATTAATTGCCCTATCGCTGGAGTTACCAAAAAATCACTGAACTATCCCCAGATCTTAACGCTGGCAATAAGTTAGGAATATCAACCTTCATAGCTCAGGTGGATCAAGATCCCTGCTGCAGCACAAAAAAATGTCACACTAGAAATGTGGTTTAAGAAGTTTTCTGACGCTAACCAATCCTTTTTTTTTGATTAGCTCTGAAAATCGATTTTTATTCTGAATTGTAGGAGCGTTTTGAATGCACATGTGGCCTGCACAATGACGTGTATTGATACCAATCAATCAACTTCGGGAATGAAAGGCTTTATTGACTTAGGTTGATACCTTTCCTGATTTCGATTCCTCAACCATACGTATTATACAGCGCCACTTGCCACAACACTGCCTACGTCCGCCACGTCTGCCACAACACCGCCTACAGCCACATTAGAAAAAGCACTCCCGGATTCACATATGCATCGTTTAATAAGCTGTCAAGTGCAGATCAAAATCTAAGATAATGAAGATAAAAGAAAGAAGAAAACAAATAAGGGAATATCAAGAAGCGATTAACAAAACTTGGTGTTTGTTGAATCGCCAGAAAATGTCTTAGGTAACTAGAGCATTTCTTCTAAAATACGACATTTCATTTCATTTCATTTATTACTCTCATGGAGTGCTATATTTACTATAGACCATACCAGTAAAGGAAAGGTAAAACAATGAAAACTTGAATAATTAGTAGAGAAAAAAAGAAACAAAAACAAGTGAAAAGAAAGGAGAGCAGACTTCAGTCGCAGAAAAACGAACATAATACTAGGACTGGAAAATCGTAGAGATTTCACCAGCGACTACGGTGAGGGTACGCTAAAAGAGAACGCTTTAAGGCCACTGACCTGCATAGTAAG